CTACAGAAGCTGTAGAGGATGAGGATAGATTCTAACAAACTTCATTCATATAAAGTGAAGAATTCCTTCTACACTTTTATTCCTGAGAGTGGATTATTTTTCTTAAATTGCTGTGTGACTTTTCACTGTAGATGTTATACTTTCAATTTTCTCACAGTGAAAATCTGTCACACTTAAGAACACACTGTCCAGCGAGACCAGTGTCAGAGATAAAGGAAAAGAAACACCAAAAAATCTTTATGGTTAGGAATAAAGGGATAGCATATTGTTGTCAGGATTAAGGGACAAGACAAATCACTTTTTTCTTTAAAATGCACATCACTCACTTGAGTTTCCCCTTCAGGCTAAAAGCAGATTCCAAAATAGTTATAATAAAATAGCCTTCAGAAAGAGAACTGAAAATACAAGGAGTGGGTTTTGAGAATAATAGATGAGAGCCTTTTTGAAATAATCCTGTTTTCATCACTTACCCTTACTGAAGGCAGCCATCGCATGCAGATTTCCAGGCAAATAAATGATAAATCTTCTTATTGGTAGTGTCTTTTATCATTTAGATATCTTTTCTATAGTTGCTTTTATTTATTTGTGATATGGAGAGAATTAAACTGTTTCTTTATTGCTGAAATTCCTCCTTACACTTGTCCTCTAGCATCAGATATCTGAAATATGAGAGGATTTTTTGATTCTGTACTGAAAAATATTTCTGTTGGTTTTGCAAATGCTCCTAAGTCCCATTTTCAAAATATCCAATTCAGGAGTTCAAAAATTGTGTGGCATTTTGAAAGTTTACTGTCAGAGTTACTTTGCTGGTTCTTCTTTATATAAAATTAGTAGATGTAGATTGACTTAGTGGAAGAACATCAGTGCTTAATGCATTATTAAAGATTCCTTGTAGTGAACTAAGGTGGTGAATCAACCCCTGGTGTTCTGTAATGCATATTGCCAGTCTGCAAGATAAAGGGTCAGCGATGACTCCAAAGAGCAGTGCCATTCACCAGTGCCTTCTGTAAAGTCTTCATCCTATTTTAGATATCTTTGGATATATTGTATGATATACACTTTATGCTGCTTTGAAATATACTTCATCAAAGCCTTGGCTGATACAGGAAATGCTGTAAATTCCCATTG